CACAGCTCCAGGGGAGCTTTTTTGGAAGCCATCGAAAGGACCGACACAGATGGAGGGAATCGCTCCGGCCACCCCTTCTCGGGACCAGCCGACCGAGAGGGTCCCTGCAGCACCCCGGTGCCGTGGGGGCCGCGCTCCCTGCGGGCTCGGGGGCCCCGCGCTGCGCCCCCGCCGCACTGACCGCCTTCCCGCCGCTCCCGCCGCGGCGCGCGGGCTGCTCCGTGTTTTTCCCACGGGAATTCGTTATCTCGCCCCGACGGCGCTTAAGCCTCCCCTCCCGACGTGGTGACTCCCCCACACAGATGCCCGAGCGGCAGAGCCGCTGCAGCCTCCGAGCCGGGGCTGCCCGGAGGGGCTCCGGCGCTCCCCGCGCTGCGGGGCTCAGGCGCGGGGCCGGCCGCTCCGTTACCGGCGTGGCACGGCTGTGCGCGGCCCGCCGGGCCCGTCGCTCCCCCGCCAAAGCCGAGATTAGCCGTGGCTCCGGGGGCGAGAGCCGCTTTTGGAGAGCCAAGGCTGAGCCTTTGGGGCGGTAGGTCGGGAGGCAGCGCCCGTTTCGGCCCGGCACGAGGCCGGGGCAATAGCGCCGGCGCTCGGGTAGCCGCGAGGACACTGGGGACCGACCGCACCGGGAACGGAAAACGGCCAAAACAAAATCTCGGCGCTGACCCAGCACTGGGCGACCCAGCCGCACCGGCCGAGGACTTCAGCACCTCGGCTCCCCCTTTCCAGCCCAGTTCGGGCCCGGCGACCCGGAACGCGGGAGAAAGGGGCCGCTTTGCAGTTGAGCCGCTTCTCGTCAGCCGCTCCTCGCGGAGTCCGACCCGACGGGGCGGGYCCCCACTTGGGGGTTGCGCAGAGTCGCCCGACGGAGGGGCTCGATGTGGCCCCGCCGACCAGTCCGGCCTCGGAGCTCCGGGCTCCCGGCCAGGCTGGGCAGAGCCGTCGGGCTCCGCAGGGGATTCGCGGGGAGCCGCCCGGCCCGGCGGCTGCCCTGTCCCCGCGAGGAAGCCTGGCWGGTGACAGGAGGGGAGCGGCGTCGGTGTCGCCTGTGCCGCCCCGCCGCGGTGCAGCGAGGCCAGGCTGCCGCGCTGTGGGGCGCCCCCGGGAAGCGGCGYCGGGGCACCGGGCTGCGGAGCAGCCATGGGAGCCCTTCGGCTTCCCGAGCGCGAGGCACGCGGGACGCCCTGCGGGACGCAACAGGCATCTATTTGGGGTTGCTGAATATATATATATATATTTAAGTAAATAAATAAATAGATGGATGTATGGAGGGGCGCTGGGGGCCGCCGCTGCAGGGCGCGGASCGGGGCCGGGCCGGGGCCGATGCAGACTCCTCCGGCGGCGGCTCCCGGGGCTCTGCGCGGGTCCGGGGGCGGCTGCGGGTAACGGCGGCGGGGGGCGGGCAGGCCCCGCCGCTCCGCTCCGCTCCGCTGGCGGCGGCGGCGCGTCGTGGCAGCGGGCGTGGGGACGTACGCGGCGCTCCGCGCTCGGCGCCGCCGCCGTCACGGCGCCTCCGCCCCCTTCCCGCCCCCGCCGGAGCGGCGCG